CTAGTCTTACCGTATTTGATCCTGCCCACAAGATGTTGCTCATCCTGCCCTACTCCTTTCCAAAGATCCTCTGTTCTCCTAGACAGCTTCCATGCTCATTCCACACTCTGCACAGCAGGCAAGCAGCCTCCTCTGAGGCTAGAGCTGTGCACCATGCAGAAGCACCCAAACTTGGCCTTGTTTTGTGTATCCCCTTGGATCATGAAACTGCTTTTCCCAAACAAGGTTAGAAAATATGGACTCATGTCCACTCAACTAGTAGCCCATGAATCTCCCATCCCCCTTGTTTGCATCCTTGTGAAGGTCACAATTATTTAGAATTTAAGACAAGTGCCAACAGGTCATGAATTAAAGATTTGCCAGTATCCCATAATCCCAACAGAATGAACTGTCAAAATGAACTCCACATGATCAGCCCCTTGATAGTACCCAGGAGCCTATGAACTGTCAAGGGGGGAATTTAATTACTTTAAATTAGCCATAGGTACAAACAAAACAAGCAATAGCATGCCCACGAAATGTGCTGTTTGGAGAGGGAGAACCTGGCTAATCAGCTCAAATAGGCAAGGGGGGAATTGTAAAGAAGCCGAAAAAGCAGCTAAAGAGACATGCATGGATGGAAGTGCAGCAAGTTAAAAAATGTCTGACAACTACATTCACACAATGAAAGAGAAAGTTTTACCTGTCAGCTTCCTTTTCTCCAAGCAGGGTCACGCTGGCAGTCAAAGCGGAATTATATTGAGTAGACCTCCGAAGAGTGTGTCTGTATATAGTAACATATGGTTTTTATCCTTCTCTGACCCCTTCGCTGTTCTCTCCTTGCCACCTCTCCTCACGCAGATACGACATGTCACCCACACTCTCATTCATTAGTTGACTCCATTTGCCCCTGTACTCAAGCTTGCCAAACTGACCTGTCCCTTGGCTGACTTAGCAACTCCTTGGGTCCCCTGAGCTCCCCCAAACCCCTAACTCCTCAGAGACCCTTCCCTTCACATCACTAATGCCCCAGGCCCCTCTTCCTACATCATCTCTTTACTGCTCAGAACCAACCCCCTCAGCTCAGAAACCTCTGCCATCCAACAGACTCTGCATATCGCTCCCATCCGACTTCCCCCTCCACTCCTCAACCCTCCAGACTGAGTACTCTTCTTACCAAACACCCAACCCCAACCCAGAACCCCCCCTTTAGCGTTCCTTTTCAAATGGTCACACAGTACAAAACTCAAGACAATTAGAATAATTCAACTTTTGCACGATTCTTACTTCCCGCTGGGTCTAGAAAAACAGGAGCAGAAGGAGCAGTGAGCATGTGCTCGGAAATAGCTCCCAAGAACACTTGAGGGAGCTGAAGCCCTCCAACGACAGCCCAGTGTAGCAGTAACTCTCTGGCAGCTGGTGGTACTGCATACTGCAATACATCAAAACACTACAGCGCGGGGGAACAACAAAGAAGTTTTCAGGGGATTTCCATTCAAAGTTTTTTTATTGAAAAAAAATCTGAACTTGAAAAGTGATGACTAGCTCTAAAAATTCTCATATGTATGAACTATAGATTAATTCACCTGTTTTCTTATCCAAGGCTGCGGTCTTTAAAACTCAAATGAATGAACAAACAGCAATGAATCCATCACCTAGGAGGCCACAACAAATCACCTCACCGTTTGGCTGACTTACTTGGTACATGACCATCCCTCACGTATCATGTCTGAGATCCTTGTTATCTCTGACAATAGGAATTCCAAAGATGCTCCTGCATAAGGGCACTGAGGATTTGCTCACACATTATTACCTTTAAGTTAGAGGCTTAAAGTTTTTTATGGTCTACTACTTCTAAGCATTGCTGCATGGGCGGCGGGGTGCAGGAAAAACAAGGCCCTGAACATCACCACTTGCTACTGGATTTCCTAGTACCAATAACATTTGATTGTTATTCAGTATTGAAAATGTGTCTGGGAGCATGTAGAGGGATAGGAGGTGAACAGCAATAACATGACTTTAGATGGTACTATTTATTAAATTGACAACTAAACCCACTCAAGATTGAGTGATCTGCATGAAGATTGATCCTAACAAAATTTGTGGACAATAGATTTCCCAGATACCAGTTTTACTAAAGTGCATTTTAAGTTAAAAGAAGCATTAAATTGCTTATTATTCATGTTTTAATCTCTTGCCCAACCAGTGTTCATTTCTTATTTCAGAGGAGGGGGAAGCGGTTCACAGCGAGCCTAATATTTTCTCTATAGTACAAGCTCAAGGTTCTTGTCAGACTGAACATTCCTAGTCCTGACTGAGCTAGTACTAAGAAAAGACTCGGATGCATGCAGCACAGTAACTGGACAACAGCACTAAACTCACACATCGATTACAAGGTAGCACCTTACTACCCATTCACTTTCCTTCCACTGGCCACTTCCATGCATCTTGCCAAATGGGCATCAATAGGGTGATGTGGAATAGGACCCATTTTTTTTGCACTCAGTATTCCAGCATCTCTGCAATCCACCTTTAGTAACTACTCTCCCCCTTAGCAAGTCCTCTTATTTGTCCGCTGTTTACAGTCTTCAAGTATGAGCAACAGAGCCTGACCAAGGTTGTAGCAGCTTAGTCAGTAACCATTTGTACAGATGTCCTCTCAGGGATTATGACTAGGGCTAATGAAAAAAATAGTTGTTTGGATAGTTTAATAAATTCAAAGGCATTTTCCATTATTTTGTTTCATAACAATCCAACTTTTCATTTTCCAAATGGACGATTTCATTTCAAAACTCTTAGTCACATCATCTGACTAAGCTTCAGGAGTGACATTGGCCACACACGTGCCTACCTAACCCCCCAAAAGGGGGAGGGGGAGACCAGGTCACTCTAAACCAGGGGTGGCCAAACTTACTGACACTGAGTCAACAAACTTCAGAAGTTCGGGAAGCATGGTGCAGCTGCCAGGCACCTCCTGTCCCACAGAGCTGAAGCCCCAATGCCCTCCTCCCTGCTGGGGAGAAACCAGAGGCGGGGTGAGAGGGACACGTGGGGTCACATCCCCCCTGATTTTTGCCAGGGTTTGCTGGCCCAGCTTGGTTACATGCTGCTGCAAGGCCCCCTCCCTGCACAGCAACGGCTGGAACGGATGAGCTGTGCCCTGGGTGGAGGCAGCAGCAAACAGCTGGGAGCTGCAGGAGCTTTTGCTGCTGCCTCCACCCAGGGAGCTACAGCAGAGGCCCCGCCCCGCAGCTCTCAACTGTTTGCCACTGCCTCTCCATGCAGAGACAAGGCCGGGGAGCTGCAGGGAGGGGCTGCGGAGGGTGACGACGTCGGGGGGGGGGGGGGAGGCGCGGCA